TATATAGAAAAAATTAGCTAGGCATGGTGGTACATGCTTGTAGTCCCAGCTACTCGGGAGGCTGAGGCAGGAGGATTGCTTGAGCCCAGGAATTTGAGGTTGCTGTGAGCTAGGCTGACGCCACGGCACTCACTCACTCTACCCTGGGCAACAAAGCGAGACTCTGTCTTAAAAAAAAAAAAAATCTGCATTTAGATTCATTCTTAAATGACTGATTTTACAAATATCTGTGTAAGAATTGCAGAAGAGGCCAGGTGTGGTGGCTCACGCCTGTAATCCTAGCCCTCTGGGAGGCCGAGGCGGGCGGATTGCTCGAGGTCAGGAGTTCGAAACCAGCCTGCGCAAGAGCGAGAACCCGTCTCTACTATAAATAGAAAGAAATTAATTGGCCAACTAATATATATAGAACAAATTAGCCAGGCATGGTGGCGCATGCCTGTAGTCCCAGCTACTCGAGAGGCTGAGGCAGGAGGATTGCTTGAGGTTGCTGTGAGCTAGACTGACACCAGGGCACTCATTCTAGCCTGGGCAACAAAGCGAGACTGTCTCAAAAAAAAAAAAAAGAAGAATTGCAGAAGAACTCACAATGGAGAGATGATAAGAATTAAAGCAAATCAATTTATCTAGAGCTGCACCCTTGCAATTTGGTGGCCGCTAACCACATGTGGCTATTGAGTACTTAAAATGTGACCAGACCAAACTGAGATGCACTATAAGTATACAACACACACTGGATCTCAAAGACATAGTACAAAAAAGTAACATTTTATTAATAATTTTAATATGACTACATATTGAAATAATATTTTGTATACATTGGATTGGATAAAATGTTATTGAAATAAAATTTACCTTTTTACTTTTTTAATGTGGTTACTGGAAAATTTTAAATTATATATGTGACTCATATTTCTATTGGATAGTGCTCATTTAAATCATTATTGAATGGTTTTAGGAAAACTAACTCTTAAATTTCAGTCTTTTGAGTTAGATATTTCAGGTTGAGACTCCTACTCCCGTGCTAAGAACATCAGAAATTGTTCCTTTCTTCAATCGTATTTGTAACTACCCCAATTATTTTTAACCCATGGTCAAATTAGCTTGCTGCAGAATTATGGCACTTGGAAAGTAGCATCCAACTTTTAAAGGATAGTATGAAAATTCTCCTATAACAAGAACAAATAGTAGTAAAATAAATAATAAAAATCCTTTCCAGGAAAATGATTTTTAAAACAGACCACCTGAAACAGCTTCCCTAACTCTCCCAGATTTGAGGGACAGTCTGATAGGCAGACCCTGAAGGGCATACTCACTTTACTATTGTTGCACTGCCCAAACATCTTAGGAAATTAGTAGTAGTTCTAATGCCATATAGCTGGTTAATTTAATCTAAGTGTGTTTCTGATTTGGGTTAGAAAATTAAATATTACTTTCCATACTATTAGTTCCCCTTTTAAAGGGAAATGAATTGATTAAGTAAATGTAGGCACATAGTTAAATATAAGGGCACTAAACATAGATGATTTAAAAAGCTTTTTAAATTTCCCTGAGAGATTCCTAAATAAGAAAGTACAGGGGAGATTAGAGAGAGTTACGGGTCACTAGTCTGTAAACAAAGCACCACTTCAAAACAGGGATGATAACTCTGACTCACATCACTCATGGGTATGTTCTGTGCTAATATCTATAAGCAGTCAGATAATCATAACTTTAAATCATATTATTGTCAACTGCTTTCAAATTCCTTCCTACTCTGCCCCATGAGTTGATTTGTAAGCAAATCATATTTTTAGTTTGCTATATCAGCATGGACTTAAGAGTACTTAATACATGTATCTTTAATTCACATTCACATTTAAGAGCAAACATTTTGAGGTTAATATTCTTGAGTCTATAGTTAGAATGCATATATAATACATTTGTGTTTTTAAAATTATGCTTTTGTATTTGGGCTATTTAATTGATACTCAAATTCAGGAAAACAGTGCCACAGTTATCCTAGATGTAAGCCATCTATTGCATCATTGCCCTTATTTAAAATATATTTTTATATTGTTAATTTTGTGCTATCCATTCAGTGTTCTGATTTTAGTCCCTGAAATGTCAGATCCGGTGACATTTAAATTGCTTTGAATTCTGCCTTTATTTTGAAGGCAGGTCGATGTTAATGGACTAGACCCCAAGAGCTTGTTCAGCTATTTACCAAGCAGAAATGTGTGGCTCAAATGGAGGGTTTTTTAGAGCATCCATTTCTACTTTAAAACTTTCAGTATAACCAGTGTGTCACATGGCAAATGGTGAGTGTAGCAATTGAAACACAATTTAGCTACATAAAGGGGGCAAAATAGAAAATTAAAAGTGGAAAAAAGATCAGTTTGCATTATGGCAAACACGAACACTGTTTACTTCATGATTTCAATGTCAGCACTGAATTAAAATCAGGCTTTTGATCAGAATAGAGAGGAAAGGAAAAAGAGAAACTAAGGTGAAAACAGAAGGTATGAAAGGATGACTTCTAATAAAATGATAAGCTAGAGATAAACATAAAAATGAGTAATAAAACTCCTAAGCTTTTCATAGAATCAGGAGGCAGAACATTCTTGAAGGGAGGAAAAAACTGCAGACATCTGATTGATGTTGTCTGGCTCAACCTAGCCCTCCAGCACATTTGTTTTAAAGCCTGCCTTGTGGTTATGACTTCCCAGCACAAACCCCACAGCTGTTTCACATCCTCCTCTCCTGTAGGGCCTTCTTGACTACTTTTGCAGATGGGAGCATCTTTCCTGCGCCTGGGATCTCTTCCTTTGCAGTGAATACTGAGCCCCTCCAGCTCACACTGGCCTCCCTCAGCCCCCCAGCCACACAATGCTGTGCTCCACACAGTCTGCTCACATCCAGTTTCTCATTTGAGTCTTACACTGCCCTTTCAAGCCGATTTACTAGACTCTGCAGGTATGGCATCACCTGTCACCGACCCCCTTTCATTGGCTGTAGAGGAGCCATTTGTAGAAGTCAGAAGTCAGCCTGCAGGTGGCAGTCACAAAGGCATGACCAGCACCAAGTTTTCTGACTCTAGATCCTGTAGGCTTTACATCTCCATGCCACTTATAAACAACAGCAAAAACAGACAAATAAATAAGCAAGACCTTCTTTGACCCTGCTGTTGCTTTCGTATTGCCAAATTCTTCAAATATGATTGTGTTCAAACCCAGAATGGCATAATGGAAGGGCTGTTGCCTTTGGAATTGGGCAGGCGAGGGTTCACAGCCTGCCCCTGTGATAATTGTGTGATTTTGAACACATTTCTAATCCTCGGTTTCCTCATCTATAAAATACCTACCTAATGACTAAAGTACTTAGCCCAATGAGAGGCATGATAAATTTTAATGTATTACATAATTGTCTCCTGCATACTGACTTTGACCCTGACCTCTCCACAGAATTTGATCTTGCCCAGAATGCTCATGACCTTTTCTGGTTGAATCTTAAGGCCTTTTCTCAGCTTTCAGCCTTCTTCTGCTACTTATGTCTTAATTCCTTCTATTCCCTTGACTTTCTTAATATTATATTATTGATTCTTCCTTTTCTGGTAGCTTCTCTTTTGTCTAATTTACTGACGATTTTGTCTCATTCTACCCTTATGTAAGTCAGTCTTCTAATGTTCCATCTGCAACCATTGCTATGTTGACAAGACTAAGTTGAATTAATCAGAAAGGAGTTGGCCTGGTGTGGTGGCTCACACCTGTAATCCTAGCACTCTGGGAGGCCGAGGTGATCACTTGAGCTCAGGAGTTCGAGACCAGCCTGAGCAAGAGCGAGACCCTGTCTCTACTAAAAACAGAAAGAAATCAGCTGGACAACTAAAAATATATAGAAAAATTTAGCCAGGCACGGTGGCACACGCCTGTAGTCCCAGCCACTTGGGAGACTGAGGTAGAAGGATCATGTGAGCCCAGGAGTTTGAGGTTGCTGTGAGCTAGGCTGACACCATGGCACTCTAGCCTGGGCAACAGAGTGAGACTCTGTCTCAAAAAAAAAAAAAAAAAAAAATTTTATAAAAAGGAGGTAATGTTATCTATTTTACTTTGTGCAGTACATCTTTAGCCTTAATTCTTCCTTACCTATCTCACTTCTACTTTCAAATATAAAAACATCACATTGGATTTTAATCATCAGCAAACAGGCAAAGCCCCAGTACTGTTAAAATCACTGGAAGGCTTTAATTATCCTATTCCATGTAGACATGGCAAGTGATGCCCATGACCAAACTATTTTAGTATGATGGTGATGACAGTGATAATATTAACAATTTTGTTTTCCAAATAGTATTATAGAGCTTACACAGTAGTCTTACCTACATTATTTGTGCTTCAAAATAACACTGTGAGGTAGGTAGTGTTCTGAATCATCCAACACACCTTATAGATGATGTAAAAAAAATTTCTGACTTTGATTCTAGGAATAGTGCCTTTTCTATTTAAATCATACTATTTTTTGTTCCCTATTTCATGTAACTTTCTTGACATGTCTATAAATGCTATATTTAGGCTAAAGAACATAAGACATTTTTATCTAATTTAGGGAAAAGGAAAACTAAGAAAAAGAGGTAAATTCAAAACAGTAAATTGAGTTACTTATTAGCAGATCAAGGAAGAGCTATAAATTTGGAGGCTGAAACTTGATTACAAGAGTTGGGGAAAGAATTTCTTTGTGTATTTGTTTTACTTTGGGGGAAAGTATTTATACTATGAAATATAAACATTTTTTATTAATGAGAGTTGACTCTATACTGTATATAGATTTAAGCTGGCAAAAATATAAAAAGTTAAATTGTCAAAGATTTTAAAGTGTAAAAAGTTAAGCTTAGTTTAAATGGGGGATTTCATCTATTTAGTTAGAGAAGTCTTCATGTTACCATAGATCACATCCATTCATTCATCATTCACCCTAATTGTCTTTTGTTCCTACCTAATGAAGTATATTGTATGTTTGTTTTGCAGATCTAAAGCGAGAAGCCAGTATCTGTCATATGCTGAAACATCCACACATTGTAGAGTTATTGGAGACATATAGCTCAGATGGAATGCTTTACATGGTTTTTGAATTGTGAGTGTACATTTTATTTCTTAAGGGATAAAATTTTAAGCAATGCTACTTTTGTGTAATGCTAACACTTTTCTCTTGAAATTTAACAGTAGTTGCAAACTTATCTGTTTAGAAAGAACTAAAGTCACAAAAAAGGATTATCTCATCTTAAAGTTTACAATGGCAAAGGAAGCAAGAGCTAGACATATTCAGTTACCCTCACACTTTCAGCACACTTTAGAGAAGAGGTTCCAAAAGGAAATAGAGTTCAGAGGGATAGGAGGCCCCAAAATATAAAATTCTGACCAATAGAAGTCTTAATGAAGAAGAGTGGGAGAAGAGTGGAAACCTCCAGGTAGGTAGCAAGCCTGTCTGGTAACTAAAAACTAATGATGACAGACTTGACTTCCTCTTTTGATATAATCACTATGTTGGCATATGAGGGCAAGTCTATAGATCACAGTGTATCTTGATTTCAGTAAGCCACTTGATATGTTTATCATAGAATTTTTTTCAGTAAGATAGAGAAATGTGAGTTAGTCCATAGTTGATTGGATGATTGTATCCAAAGAGATTGTGTAAAGCTTTATAGGGCAGCACCTTGCAAGGTTTTGTCTTTGGTCTTATTCTGTTGAAAATTATAATCAGTGACTTATATTTGGGAAAAAAAGGAAGGTAATAATTGCTTAAATATTCAAAAGTTACCAAGGTTAGAGGATATACTCAGTATCTATTGCTTCATAACAAAAACCCCACAACTTAATGGCTTAAAACAAAACACATTTATTATCTCAGTCTCTGTGCATCAGGAATGTGGATCCAATTTAGCCAGGTCCTCTGGCTGTGAGTCTCTCACGAAGTGGTAGTCAAGGTGTTGACCAGGGCTGTAGTCATTTTAAAGCTCCACTCGAGGGTGGATCCACTTCCAAGCTCACTCATGTGGTTGTTGGCAGTCTTCAGTTCCTCACAGGCTATTGGACTGAGGGCCTTGGTTCCTTATAAGCTGTTAGCCCAAAGCCTCCTTCGGTTTCTTGTCACTCGGGCCTATCCGTAGAGCAGCTCACAACGTGGCAGCTTGCCTCCTCAGAGCAAGCTAGAAGGAAGGCAAGAGAGAGTATGTGAGCAAGACAGAAGCCACAGTCTTGTAACCTAATCTCTGAAACTGCATACTATCACTTATGCTATATTCTTTTAGTTAGAAACAAGTCACTAGATCCAGCCCACACACAAGAGGAGGGGATCACTAGGAGCCATTTCACAAGCTGCCTACCACAGAGGGCTTAGCCGACACATTGGCTGTCTGCATCAAAACTTGAAATTTGTTTTACAAGTTTGTAGCAAAGGAGCTGAAACAGAAAAGGTGAGATTTTAAAAGCAGTAGCTCTGGCTTGGGTGAGGCAAAGGCATTATATGTAACCAAAATGTTTATACCCCCACAATATTCTGAAATTTAAAAATAAATAAAAGAGTCAAAATTAAAAATAAAATAAAAGCAGTTGATATAAAAACCTTCATTCAAATATATAAGTACAAGATCAGTGTGAATTTAGTTGTAACTACTTATATGAAAAAGATGTAAATGTTTTAGTTGTCTGCAACGGCTTTAAAAGTCCTGAATGGAATGTTAGGCTGCATTAATTAGAAGTATATAGTATTCTGAACAAAGCCACACTCCCCCTATTCTTTCTGGAGTGTTCATTGAAAGCAGGACACTGGAATGTTTGCAGAAGGGGATAACCAGAATGGGAAAGAGCCTGCCAATTCTGTCATAAAGTCATGGCCTTCAAAATCTTTGCTGGCAAACCCGCTAAGAGAATTTTGAAAAACTTATGTACCCCTCTCACATATTTTTAGGTTGATATATAAAAGCTTTTATTATGAGAATATAATTTTCAGTGTCTTGAATATTCTTTCAAGTATATTTTCTTCACAACTGTAGAGCTGCATATTTATCTTGTTCACTTTATGGAAAATGTCTGCTAGGTGACCTACATGGCAAAGCCAGTCCTCATTGTCAAATCACTCAGCCAAATCAGACTCATTTTCTCTCAGAAAAAATTCTGACTTCATTTTTCAAATAAAATTAAAGTGTTAATAGACACACCTGTGACATTCACCTTACCATTGATTTCAAATTCTAAAATAGATCAGGCTTTGCCATGAATATATTGCCTAGATGAAGTACAGTGGCAACTCCCTTTTTTTCTCAAGCCCTCTTTATGTTTTTGTTTTGCTCTAAAGGGTCTCTCCCTCCCTCAGGAGTTGTATATTCCCCAATTGTCTCTTTGAAGCTAGACAGCCTGATCTTTTGAGATGGGAGATTGTAGTTATGGAGATGTAAAAGGAAAGTTAGCAGACCACAGACTTGTTTTCAGACAGACCAAATTATGGCAAATTAAGATACGGAAATTGATTGCCTGAAAAATATCCTAGTTCATATGTCTTCTGGAAGGGCTTTGGGTACTCCCAGAGATGCCCAAATTCCAGGTTGAAGACCACTGGCATGGAAGAGCTCTTGAGAAGACAGGGAAGCTTTAGTTAACCATTATTGTATTAGTTTTCTTATTCTGCTAAAAGAGTTTCCAAAGCAGAAGCCCATAGGTAGAACATGATCAATGTCTTCAGTTATTTGAAAGATCATCATGTATAAGAAGATTCTATGCTTATTCAATGTAGCATCAGAGGCTGTAACTAGAATCAACAAGTAGCAGATTTCACCTCTAACTAAGGAAGGTCTCTTTAATCATTAGACTTACTCCAAGAATGAAGCAAGCTATCTCACAGACTATGTAGTTTCTCAGTAGAATGCTCAAGCTAAAGCTGGATCCAGCTAAGAGGGCTGAAGATAGGGTTATAATTCTGGACTAGAGAGGGAGGGCCTCTAACATCCCTCCTGATTTTAAGATATTATAATTCCTTTTAAATTACTTTTCTGGTTTAATTTTATTATTTATTCAAGAAATGTTTCTCTCCATGTTTATTTTCTGAGAAAACTAAAAACCAGGTTTTATGTACTATATAATGTAGAGCATAGAAAGCAAATTTTAAAAATTCATCTAAATTTCACCATGTATGCTATTTGTATGGAAGGGCACTAAATGACAATGTAGTAGAAAGAAGAAGGTCTTTGGTATCATAAAACCTGGGCTAGCATTCCAGCTCTCATTTTACTAATTATGTGACATTGGCCAAGTCTTGTAACTTCTCTGAGTCTCAGTTTTCTTACCTTGAAAATATTCATAAGATTATGAGAACTAGATGAGAAACTGTATGTGAAGTCCTTTTGTAAATGGTGAGGTGCTTTATAACTATAAAGTATTATTTCCAGTGGATTTAACAGGTTAATTTTAGTTCCTCAGTGTTGAAGCAGTCTATATGGGATTTTATGTAGCTAATTTTGTGTGCTTCAGTTGTGATTAAACTAATTCATCGGTAGCTGTATATTGAGACAAGACCTCATTAAAGTTGGATTATTTGCCAGTGACCTAATCCAGACGTTAACGCAAATCACTAGAACATGGCTTTCTATTTTCATTTTTTTAAGCTTTTATTATGGAAAATTTCAAATGAAAAGAGAGAATAGTATAATGAACCCCAGCACACTGGTCACCGAGCTACAACAGTTATCAAAACATTTTGCCATTTCTGTTCTATCTCTCCTTTCCTGTTGTCTTTTTTCCTCCTGGAAATTCCTAAAGCAATGTTACTTCACCTATAAAAATTTCTGTTTGTATTTCTTACATATAAGGACTTTTAAAAAAAAATGACCGTAATGTTATCATACCTAACAAAGTCAACAACAGTTACTTATTACCATGTCATGTTCAGTTGATGTTCAATTTTCCCTGATTGAACATGAATTTTAAATGACAGATTTCTAAATTTAGAATTGTTTTATTAGCTCTAGGGAATCTGGAACTGTATTATAAATTCACAAAGTGCCTTAGTTATTTCTCAAAACGGCCAGAAACAAAGTAGAAATATAAAACTTCTCTTTTGTATCATTGTTTTATAAATTTACCTCACCAATTGGCCTTGCCCAGTTTTTTGTATCCCTCATCTCCTGGGTTTTAAGCCAGCCAACCAACCAAAAACATCCATTGCTATAAGATTTAAGGTCATGTAGATCAAAGAGCAAAGCCAATACAATTGTGTGTGGTTCCACCTACTGGCTAGGTGAAAGATTGCTTCTATAGCTGCAACATAGACTAAGCTACTCCAGAATTAGTTCCATGTTTCTTGGCAATAGATATAATTACTGCTGGTATGCAGGGGGCTCATTGCTCAGGTTATGGGTTACCTGGATCCTTTTTATAGTTTTCTAACATGACAACAATACAGAATAGACAAGGAAAGGGAAAACAAATGAAACTAGATCAGTTTAACTTTCCTGTTTGTTGGCTGCTTAGAAACAGCTCTTATCATTTTGGTGGAGAAAAGGCTAGACAAAACAACATATTTGGATTATCAGTGAGTTTCTTGATGTGGTATCCATATCTGTCTTTGCCACAGACTGTGTATAACCAACACTCCCTATTTCTTCCCAGACTGAAGTCATGAAATTATATTGGCCAATAATGTTGCTTACCATATTAGAAAATCCTTAGAGCTAGTTGATATCCACTTAATCACAAATGGTTTATAAGTTTAAAGCATATTTAAATACAGAGACTCACAGAACCAGAAGTTTAGAATTAGAAAAGATTAGAGAAGTAAATTTCAAAACTTATGTTGGAAAATCCTGTGTAGAGGTTGTTAAACAAACATATACCCAGGCCCCAACCCTAGAAATTCACTTTCAACAGATATAGATTCTAATGGGGCAGGCCAAGAGATGAATGAATTGTAAAGTAGGGCTAATATGATTTAGAGACTATGTTGTCATTTCCCCAACACCAACAGTACTGTTTTTAGACATCTGCATGTTTGTACATTCATTGCTTTGGGATTATAATTAAATCTGAACCTGTCTACAGCAATTTGCTGAAATGTATTTTAAAATATAGGTTCAGTTTTGAAGA